GTAGATTTAACGTTTCTCGGTGCGTTTGCTCTTGCTTTTGATAGCCAATACAACCTGTTACTACTCTGCATTGAACAAATCGACAGTGAGCATGCATAAGGGCCTATACGCGATCATCGATTCTCTTCGTCGATTTTCTCTTTTGTTAATAACTCGCTAGATTTAACGTTTCTCGGTGCGTTTGCTGTTGCTTTTGGTAGCCAATACAACTTGTTACTACTCTGCATTGAACAAATTCTAGAAAATTGTTTCGCTTAGCTGTAGCAATGCAAAGAGAATATCTATGAAGAGAATCGATCATCGCGTATTCGCCCTTATGCAAGCTCACTGTCGAAATTCTAGAAAATTCTTTCGCTTAGCTGTAGCAATGCAAAGAGAAAATCGATCAAGAGAATCGATCATCGCGTATACGCCTTTATGCATGCTCACTGTCGAATTATCATCATACACAGTTAAAAAAAATTGTTGAATATTACATCCAAACAGCTGCACAGAGGTCATTCCGCTGGTGGTGTAATATTACGTTGTACGATGTACATCGATTTTGCGAACAAAATTACATCTATTGATGTAATATTGTATCTGCTTTTTGCTATTACATCATTATTTGATACATCAGCTTGAATTACGTTGATCGATATAAGATTTTTTTGCTGTGTACATACCGAGGTTCCGGCAGAGAAGACCTACGAGCAGTTATGTCAATTAGGGCCCATGCATTAATTATGTCACGCTAAATCGAGCAAAAAATTACAGCCTCCCCCCCCCCCCCCTATCGTGACGTTTTTCCTATACCTAATGCATTGCTTATCACAAAATCTTAGACCCTCCCTACCCCCTTAGAGCGTGACATAATATATGCATCAACCCTTACTGGTGTCACATTTTACGCCTAGAACGGTAGTGCATCGGGAAAGGAGGATGTTTTTGCGGCGAAGCGGGGCAAACAAGGACCGGAAAATGTTTACATGTGTATCGCCAGAAAGTTTGAGCACAACAGACTGGAGAGTTATAACATGTAGGTACCTACTCATGTTATGTCTGGAATAGGGATGACGTGTAGAGAGGCTGTAAATCGATTTCGGACGCCATTTTAAAATCGTAGATGGCGGTCATCGATTCAAGAAAAACTGTCAAATACCCTACAATATGGGTATTTTCGGAAAGGGAACGGCGTGCAGAGGCTGGAAATTGATGCCAGAGGCCATTTTGAAATCCAAGATGGCGGCCATCGGTTTAAGAAAAACTGTCAAATACCCTACAATATGGGTATTTCCAGAAAAGGTACGACAGAAATCGATGCCAGACGTCATTTTGGTATCCAAGATGGTGGCCATCGATTCAAGAAAAACTGACAAATACCCTACAATATGCGTATTTTCGGCGACTGGATGACGTGTAGAGGCTGGATATCGATTCAAGACGTCATTTTGGAATCAAAGCTGGGTATGGATAGGGAACGACGTGTAGAGATCAGATATCGATGCCACGCGCCATTTTGAAATTGAAGATGACGGCCTTTGCTTTAACGTAAACTATTGATGGGGATGACGTGTATAGGCCCAAAATCGATGTCTGCCACCATTTTAGAATCCAAAATGGTGGCTATTGGCTTTCGACGGGACATTTAGTGGCTATGGACAGCCTCTTATCAGTTCAGCACAGTTAACGTGGACCGTTTACGGGGTAGTTTTGGCGATAATCCATTAGGAAGATGAATTTGATCTTATTAATGTTTTAGGTTATTTTGGAGCTCAAAATCTTGCCTCGCATTATTTTTTTCTGAATAATGCTTACCAAGCATATTGCTTATAATTTGTATAATGTGTATAACGTATCATTGAGCAAGATGGCAACGTTTCGACATCCTTTAGCAAATCTTGCATTTTTGCACTCTGTTCGACATTACTGTCCAATGAGCAGAAGCTTTCAAACTCGGAGAGTTGATTTATTTTGAACTCGATTTCTGCCGTGGGGGGATGAAAATATAATCCATATTCATTGTAGATGGGTCCAGTTCGCTAACAATTTCATCTGCTGTAGCCGGTGCATCTCTTATGATTTCGTTGATTTCACCGTATTTCTTATCCCCGGCGCACCAAAGTTTTCGTAAATTTGTTGAATTTCGGACATGATGTGCAAATCCTTGTTGTCGTCTTCATTGCATTGTGGAAATACGACAGAAGAATTTTCTTCAAGCAGTTTACCAACGTGCTTTGTTTTATGTCCTTTAGAACCAAATCCAAGCAGTCGAAACAATTCTTGATGCTGAACTACTTTCGTGTATCCGCTAGTGAAAGGCCTTCATTCTCGGCTGTTTCCAGAATAAAACTGTAGCTTCTCTTGACATACTTCAGCTTGAAATTTTTGATGATGCCTTGATCAAGGGGTTGAATCAAATACGTGATCTTTGGTCCATGTATAGAAGCATTATGGTGGGATTGCTTATGGTGGGCGGATGCAACGGAGCGTCATCAAGGAACAGCAAAGCGTTGAAGCTAATGTTCTTGGCTGCGCAAAACTCCTCCGTCGTACCCTACACGTCATTCCCTTTCCGAAAATACCCAAATTTTAGAGTATTTGACAGTTTTTCTCGAACCGATTGTTGCCATCTTGGATTACAAAATGGCGTCTGGCATCGACTTATAGTCTCTACACGTCATCCCCTATCCAGAAGTACCCATATTGTAGGGTATTTGACAGTTTTTCTTGAACTGGTGGTCGACATCTTGGATTCCAAAATGCCGTCTGGCATTTATTTCTGGTCTCTACACGTCATCCTCTTTCCGAAAATACCCATATTGTAGGGTATTTGACAGTTTTTCTTGAATTGATGACCGCCATCTTGCATTTCAAAATGGCATCCGGCATCGATTTCCGGCCTCTACACGTCGTTCCCTTTCCGGAAATGCCTATATTGTATGGTATTTGACAGTTTTTCTTGAACCGATGGTCCCCATCTTGGATTCTAAAATGACGTCTGGCATCGATTTCCAGCCTCTACACGTCATCCCCTTTCCGAAAATGCCCATATTGTAGCGTTTGTGACAGTTTTTCTTGAACTGATGGCCGCCATCTTTGATTTCAAAATGGCGTCTGGCATCGATTTTCAACCTCTACACGGCGTTCCCTTTCCGAAAATACCCATATTGTAGGGTATTTTACAGTTTGTCTTGAATCGATAACCGCCATCTTGGATTTTAAAATGGCGTCCGAAATCGATTTACAGCCTCTCTACACGTCATCCCTATTCCGTTTCGTGTCCTCGCATTGCACAGCAACATCTTATATGGACAAGCTTTCCAGAAATAACATATTAAAGAAGTTCATGTGCACACTAGCGCCGCGTAGTGAGAGAAATCTTAAATAATATGGCCACCATCCGAAAGGACTTGGTCACCTGAACAACTTTGCTGAAGACAGCAACGTTCTATATGGTCAGAGATACAGTTCATATAGGAAGTTCACATGCACACTAGCGCTGCGTAGTGAGAGAGTTCTGAACTATTATGCACACCATCCGAAAGGACTTGGTCACTGGAACAGCTTTGCTGAAGACAGTAACTTTTTTATATGGCCAGGATCACGAAATATTCTATGTTGGACCTACACACCAAATTTTGAAATTAAGTTCCAGCAAAACGAATTGCTGGATGATGTCCAGCAAAATCATGTTTTACTGGAAAATCAGTAGTCTGAAATATTTTGCTGGATGTTCCAGTTAATTGTATCAAATGTCAAATTCAGACCTGTCCTCGCAGTTACTGGTTCGCGGTTTTGAATATTTTGCAGTCTAAGACTATGGCTTATATCATGTAATATTCGTTGTCTTGCAATGAGCACTCATGCATAGGATTTCCAGTGAAAACTAGATGTATGAGTGTTCATTGCAAGACAGCCTATATTACATGATATAAGCCATAGTCTGTACGGGGTATAAGAAGCGTTCGGCTGGCACATTATCATTAGGATGATGTAAATTTTGCTGGAATCGTAGAGTAAGTATTCTATACTTTGTCGACGTACTTGAAAAGTTCATTTCTTTTCATCTTTACAGTCCTTTCACCTAAAAACTCACCCAGGTAGGCCCAGCAAAAGTTCCTCAACAAGAGTTTATTTACTCCTTTGACTCAAGTCCATTTGATGTAATCGGTGTATGGTATTACGAAAACATGAAACAGTGCATATTTAATAAAAATGTGTTTTGTTAACTATTAAAACATAAATGTAAACAATCTAAAATTCCTATCCTTCCTCGATCCTTCCAACAAAATGATTTACTTTCCGTTTTTCTGGAAAAACAGTAAACATTGTTGATTTAACAATTAAGTGCTGTCAAATAGGCACTGGATCAATTTGCTGGTTGTTCAGCAAATACACTTTGCTGGATGGATTGCTGGACTTTCAGCTCGGCAAAATCCAGCAAGATATTGCTGGTTTTCAGCGATAAAAAATGGGTGTGATAAGATCCATATATTATAACGCCCGTCATAAGTAACATAAAAGTGAAGCGCCTCTAGCGGCGTAGTTTCCAATTAAACCTGAATCCAATGACACAGGCTTGTTGGTCTATCCCAGTACAACATGACACGAACTGGATCAGCAAGTGCTAGATAGCATGAAACCGCTTTCTCAAATATTCATGGGCCAAAAGATAGACGCGCTGAAGAGCGTAACTCAATTCCTGAAAGACATCAACATGAACATCTGAACCAAACGCATCGATCAGCGAGGCAGCCTACAATCAAAGCATCAACATAAAACACTGAAGACAACCAAAGGCAAGATGGACACAGCAGAAAAAAAAACTTTTGTATCAGTTTTCGATCGGTTACTTCATTTTGATAAGCATCATATCTAAGCATGCTACGTCAACAAATAATAATACAAACAAAACAACACCGGCAGTCGTTATCAACAAGCAACGAAACACAATTCAATCTAAAAATGCACTCGAAGAAACTGATGAACCTAAAGTAGGCGACTGGAAAGCCAATTACCTGCACAAAATTTGATATCACTAGCCATCACTGATATGTAATCACAGAATAACAATCTCTTCACACAGCCACACAGGAAGCACAAATCACCAGAATACCAGAGACGTTGAATAGAGACACGCATAGACTGAAGCAAGACGAACCAAACGAACCGTCAAACGCTGAACCAAACGAGCAAAGTAAATAAACATTACTGTTCGCTCAATTCACCGGAAAGAAGTATTGTTCTCAATGATGAAAAAAGTGTTTAATTATTTTCACGAAATATTTTACCTATCTGTTATTTATTGTTGATTCAATTAAATACAACATTTATTAGTGATAAAAACCATTTCGAATCGGAACGTTTTATGGTAATAAAAATGATTGCCTAAATAGTAAAATATAACAAAAGACTGTCATGGAGCGACTGTCATCTCGCTTTATTTTTGCAGAATGTTGTCGCGTAGGTACTTCATTTTTATTCAGTTCCGGTCGAACGTTCCAATTTTCTCAACAGCAATGCGACACTGTATGAAAGTCATTTGAAGCCACTCGAAGAAACATGGTTGCCAGTGACATTGCCAAAAGATCTCTCAAAAACCGTGCTGCTGTTTTAACAGAAATATTCTTTGCGTGTCTCTATCAACGTATCTGCACAAACCTTTTGAACAGCAGTAGTTCAGGGACGTGATATCCTTCTAGGAATTCGTAAAACCATACCTTCATCGGTTACGAAACACTATAATCGGTCAATGATAATTACAGCATTAGTGTGTAGTTATAGCCTAGTATAATAGGAGCAATGTGGTTTTTCGGCAATTTTCAAACGAATAATTAGCATTAAAGGAAACAAAGATAGGTCTAATAAGCTACTCAATCCAGATGTGTGTCTTTTACTTGACCGGAACGAACTGGATTAGCCGCTTGATTCGCCTGAGCAGCGCCTCGATGAAGCCCTTGTCCGATGCGCGGGTGTGGTCCTGTCCCGTGGCCAGCAGCTGCTTGCAGAACGTTTCGTTGAATATCGCAATGAGCGTCTTCTTCAGGGCGGCCACATCCTCGGCCGTAATCTTCCAACCGACTTCCGTCTGGGACGAGAGGTAGTCTATAACGATTGGAAAGTGTGATTTTAGAAAGGTGCACAGAGGGGCAGTCACCAGATGAAACTTACTGTCCGCTCCGTAGGCAACGAGATTGAAGTGCAACGTATTGACGGGAATAGCACGCAGCATGAAGAAGTCCAGGTGGGCCCACAGAAGGTACAGGCAGTGTTCGGTTATGAAGACGCACCGCTTCAGTTCCTCCTGCTTGCCGCCTATCCGTTCCGTGAGGCTACTGTGTATGATTTGCGCTGAAATCGGAGATTGATCGTTTAGAACTTGAATCGATTGCACAGTGGTCCAGGAATGCAATCTAGCGGAACAAAATCAATACCTGTAAGTCTTTTGTTCAAAAAATAATTGTACTAAACTTGTAATAAACTGCCATTCAAAATGTATCTTTTTAATTATTCATTCTGGAGGTTTTGTGTCTTGGACAAAGTTGTTTATTGGTCAAAATCAGTTCTAAAATGAACTTGAATTACACGAAATTTTCCATAGATCAAAAGCTCCAAGGAGTAGCGACCTTAAATTTTGTCTATAAATGTCCAGTATAGAATGCTACTAGTCCTGAAAATTCTAGGGTGCGATAACAAAAGATAAATTTTCAATAGCAGTTTGGTACACATTTAGTACAATTATTTTTTTATCAAAAGATAGCACTTTTACGTATCAATTACCATTGCCAAATTTACAAATTCACTAAAATGACACGTTTTGGAGTTACTGATTTTGTTCCACTGGATTGCATTCCCTGGCCCACTGTGGAGATTGGCTGGGAAATGAGATTTCTTACCGTTGGCATCCAAGCTGAGACTGGGAAGGGAATTCCTCTGCCGAACCATACTCTCGTAGGCCAGCTTCTCTCGGTTGTAGTACTCGACCGAGTTCTTAAGTTGAACGACAACAATGTTCAAACTGTGGCTCGTTTCCAGCGCTGCTCCGGTGACCTGGCGATGGTGAACGCTCTCGCTGATTTGGGGCGAGAAGAGCACATTGATCGTCCGATGGTCCACCGAATGGTTGGAGATGCTGTTCCGGGCGTACAGTGCCAGATTGGCTGCGATCTGCAGGAAGTACTTCAGATGGGCGGTCTTTTCCCGTTCGCTGCAGTTGGTGAGGACGTTCTGGTTCAGTTCTTTCATGGTTTGCTCGGAGAGTGTGAACCGTGGGAAGAGCGTCAGCATGAGCTTCTGCAGACGGTACAGGTGAGCTCCGAGGTCCTGGTTCGCATTCGGAGTGATCAGGCTGGATATTTCCTGATTGGCAGCTCGAGCGATAAGTCCGGTGATGCCAGCCAGTTCCCGAAGAAGTCCAATGTTCAAGAATGGAGTTCCGGCGCGGAGCACTATTTCGATCATGTCCCCGTGGGAGAGCAAAAAATTGATTACCTGGGTGACGGCAGAGTGGTTTTCCTGGCCCAGGGTCGACAGGATCACATCGCAGAGGTTCAGGGCCGGGAACAAGATCTGCTGATACCGAGCCTCGATCGGAGGGATAAAGTTGGACGATGTGGGATACAGCGGGGAATAGTTCTGTACTTGGAAATCCGGATGAAGGTCAAAGACCTTCATTCCCGCTAGGACACTGAGGGCTTTCTCTTCCAGGAGCAGTTCGGCTCCAATGTGGGAGCCGCCGATGCGACTCAACATGGCCATTTTCGATTCGTACACGTACAATGCCTTCATGTTTTCCGGTTGATTGTCCAGGATTCGGCACAGCTTGCCGTCGTTTTTCAAAAGGCTATCGATCAAATGAGATAGGTAGCCTCGTTTCGATATGAACTGAATCACGTTGGCCATCGAGTCCATATCCAGGAGCATGTCGACACAGGACAGAGCCAACATTTTGCAGATATCCAGCCCTCCGGTACAATCGTGACAGAGAATATCGATCAACTTGTCCCCGAAAGACTGGACGATTTCCACCACCATCTCGATCTGGGCATGCGATTCGTCTCCACCGGCTTCGTGCGTCCTTCCGGCCATTAAACTCTTATCCAGCCGGGAAACGAAGAACTCGTCCCGAACTGTTTCCAAATTCTGCTCGCTCTTGTCGCGATTTCCCTTCACGATGTGCATATAGTTCAACAACGCCGCGTACAAATTAATCCTCAACTTCTGCGATCCCACTCCGCTGATCAGAATCCACTCCAAAATGTTGTGCAGGATATACCTCAAGCTCAGAGTATTCGCCTTCGGTGAAAACCGTCCCACCCCTTGTCCGACTCCATTCTGGGAAAAACTCCCCCCAAACGACGTCACCAGCGAAGTATCGTTCATGGTCGCAGACATCCCACCATCTCCATTTTTCAACGAATAGCAATGCCTCAAGTTGACCATCAGCAGCAAGATCGTCGACGAGGCCAAATTCGCCAGTTCGGGCATGACCTGATTGGGAACCACCTTGCTCAGCATCGCCTGCACGATTTCCACCAACAGTCCCTGCTTGACGTCCAACGACACGAACATGGTGGGCGTCACGCTGAACAGCACCTCCGTAGCCTGTCCCCAGGCTTCCAGGAACTTCACCGTCGATGCACACAGATTCCGCTGGCTGTTCAGCTGAAGTGCGTACATCAAAATCGTCTCGATCTCCGCCTGAATGTGCGACCTCTGGCCGGCTGCGATCGTCGTCTGAACCGAGTTCAGTTCGTCCTTCAACACATCGTGCAGCTTCTTAATGTCGATCAACTTCAGCGCCGAACCGGTCACGGAAATCTCACACTCCTGCAACAATCCCTGCAGCAACGAATTGTCGAAGTAGTCCCACTTGGGCTTATCCAGCGACTTGATCTCAAAGTTCAAGCAATCCAGCAGTTGGCAGAGCAACAATTTGGCCGATTCAGGTGCCTTCCGGGAAACCATGGAACCCGGTTCCATTCCAGTGACGGAGCTCATAAGCATGCTGGAATTGACGGTGCTGTAGTGATGGGACAGTTCCAGCGGCAGCGTTTCGCTCGGTTGATTCTGGACCACACCGAGCAGGATCTTGCAGATGTTGCCGAACTGAGACACCTGACTCTTGTCCGACGTCAGCTTCAGTTCGATGGCAACGCACTTGAGCAGACCGGTCATCTGATTCAGGACGTGAGGACTTTTGACGTTGCCAAAGGGCAGACCGTTGATGTGGCGGCAGAGGAAGTCGTTGCACGAACGCAGGAAGCGTAGGATGACCTCCGAGGTGCGGCTGTTGTAGCACAAGGAGTACAGAAGGGCGTAAGCATTTTCGTTCAGACGGTCCAAGGCTGTGGACGCCGGCTTGCCGAATTTGGATGCCTGTGGAAAGAATTAGTGGGGGGATATGTGATTTAATAGCCGTCTTAAGTTTGAGAGTTTCAAGTGCCAATAACTCACCTCCAGTGCATTGTCCAGTAGCGTAATCAGCGACTTGGCGCAGTTGCTCGGGAAGTTCATCACTCCCGGCTGCTGCAAGTTCGTCAACCGGAGCTCCTTGCTCAGTTCAAAGCCCAGAAGATAATGCGCCAGATTGGGCGTACTTTGCTGAGGCAGGCACTCCTGCAGCAGCCCGATGATCGCTTCCTTGATTTGCAGTTCCACGCTGACACCGGCCGCCGGGTCAGTGGGTGAGAAAACCTCTCCGTCCATGTCCTGATCGGGATCGTCGCCGCTGGTAGATGGATCGACGGAGGATGCCCCAGCGCCACCTGTGCCGGTGGCAAATGTAACCGCTTCACTTTCCAGGCATTCGACAAATCCCTGGCGAATTTCGTTCTTGATGCGATCGTTCTGCGTCAGCAGGCCCAGAATCTGCAGGTTGACGTTTGGCTGGCGCATGATGGCCGTTAGGATGCGGATCGACACCAAGGCGTTCTCCGGCAGCCAGGAACTGTACGTTACGAAGCGCACGACGTTTAGCATGTGGTCGGCCTTGCCACTGCGGGCGTTCATTCCGAGGAGCAGCTTGTTGATCCCCGCCAGCAGGATCGAGCAGTTGGCGGAGAAATGGGCGTTGAAAAAGTCCTCCTGGGTTTCCAGGGCGCGTTCGATGATCTGGAGGGCATACAGGCATGTGACCTCGAGGTTTTTACGTCCCGGGAAGGTATTGTACCCGTCGAAGAGGGTGCACGATTCGTCGATGATGTGCAGGAGAAGACGCAGGAAATCGGATTTGGTGTTGACCTGGAGCAGGATGTGGAAACCTGGTGGGGAATTTTCCTCCCTGATTTGAGTCGGCGAAGGGAAGTCGCTCGGAGTAGGAGTGTAGTGTTGAACGAAGGAGTACAGCAAACGGAGACACTTTTCAGCGATTTGCCACTTTTCGGCAGGGTTCTTGTAGTTGCGGTTGTAGAACCGGAGAAACACGGAATCAACGATGAAGGTTACGTAAGGATCCAAACCGGGCTTACGGGGTCCTGCGCCGAGGCCTCGCGGAATAGCCGTATCGCATAGAGTATGGAGTAGGTCCAGCATTCCGAGGGTCAGAGGATAGGTTTCGTTGCGCGATTCGATTTCTTCCAGCTCGGATTCGATGCCACGGTTGGCGAAGGTACTGGTCGTTGGGATAGTTGAAATTACCTGGGAAGCTTCCAGGTTGTTCCACAGTTGAAGAGCGGTTTCTGTGCTCTTGCCCAAGGCGGCAAGGGTTTGGACGAGGTCGGCTTTCAACGATATTGTGACCGAACAGCTGATGAGACCTAGAAGAACGTGCAGCGGGGCCCAGTTGGGATGTTCGCACAGGGCGACCCGGGCGACGTCGTCGTGAGTGGCCACGGCTCGGATCACCTGCAGAACCGCTTGCAACCCGGCGATTTCCTGAGGGCTGATGTTCCTGCTGAGGGCTCGGTTCCGGTAGACAGTTTCACTGCCGGGATTCTGCTCCTGCCGAAGGTTCTGGTAGTAACGAAACAGAGAATTGAAAAAGTGATCCCAAGAAATGGTGGCCATAGATCCGGACGCACCACCGCCTTGCTTCAACAAATTGAAAGCATTCCTGGCGGATTGCGGGCAACTGGACAAGCCAGCTAGCATTTTCAGATACGGAATGAACAGAATCGGTGGCAGCAGTTCTCCTGCCAATCGGATGAACTTGAATAGGCAAACTGAGCGCGAAGAAGCCCGTTGATAGTTGGCAGCCACCTCCATCGGGCCCCAATATTCCAACGATAGATTCAGTCGCATATGATCGTTCTGATACAGCTTGCCCACGGACAGAAGCAATGCTTCGAAATTCCGGCACAGATTCGCCGGTGGATCCAAGCCCTGCTGCTGGAATGCTTGCACGGTTCGAGCCGTCTCGTCCGCTCGGGCCCGCAATTCCGTCACTTTGCTGTGCATCAACTCAATAAAGTCCGTAAACAGGACATGCATCCTCCGGTAGTAGAACTCCGTCCGGAAAATCACCTCATTCTCCAGCAACGTATAGTGAATAAAATCAAACACTTTTCCCTGGATCGCGGCATCCACTAGCAGTTCGTCCTGATCGATAATCTTCGCCGTGTTCGAATATAAATTCTGCGGAGCCAACCGAAGCGTCGCAATCGCCAGTCCAAACGTAAACAGCGATACGGACCGCAATCCTTCGCACTCCCAATTCGAAGACAACGCCTCCATGACCGTCTCGATAAACTCTCCATCCTTGACCATCGGCAGCCGCTTGACCACCTCCTCTCCATCCTCCCGGCGCTGAATCACACTCATGTCCAGCCCGTACATCAACGCCATCTGCAGTGCCAGTGTCACATTATCTATCCCTCCGGTCGGAACCGTTGACTTGTACTTGGCCAAATACCGTATCAACTTCACCGTAGTCCCTCTGGGTAATCCGCACTGGGCCGCCCAATTAAACAAACACGTCGCCAGCAGCAGTCGAATCTCCTCAAAAAGATCTAACACTTGCCGATGGTGCTTCGGTGGCCCAAGCGCTCTATTCGTCGTCAGCACATCCACCTCCTTCGTCACGTCCAGCTCACCCAACAAGTCCAAAATCTTATCCAGCACTCCATCCGCCACCAACCCGTCCGTGTACGCCGTAATGAGCTGCGTTATTTCGTGCGGTGCATCCGTACACCAGCTGACACCAGCTCGCGCTTGCATCAGCTCCTTCAGACTAGCGACAAGTGACTTCCTCCCGTCATAATACAACAACACCGCCACCAACCCGCGCGGCAGTCCCGGATGATTCGGCATCTGCTGCTGCGCCGTACAAAGCAATTCCAGCGCAATGTACTCATTCAAATCGTACATATCCGAAATGATCACGCTCTCGTCGACCAGATCTTTCGACAGGATCGTATGTCCAAACTCCGGCAGCGTAATGCCCTCCGTTATTCCCTGGCGGATTGCTTCCCGGCTTTTAACATTCTTCGGCGGATTTCTCAACAGGGTGGTGAAATTTTGCTTGTGCTTTCGAAGCAGCGCATCGAGACTGGCTACGTTTTGCTCCTGCTGCTGGCCGCCGCCGGAAACCGCCAGGAACGATTCGATGCTGTTGAAAAGGTGCTTGAACGGAGTCCACATATCATCCGGGGTTGCTGAAAGAAGCAAATCGAGAGTGTAAACATAACCCTACTAGCGGCGGAAAACGATTGCATTTCCGTGCGAAGAACTCCGTAAATGCACGAACCTTCACTCATTTTCACTAGATTCGATGTTCCTGATCGTTCGGATGATCAATGTGGTCACTTTTGGGGTTGATTATCACGGAAAACACGGCACAAATTGAGTGCGGGTATTTTTCCGCGTAAGACAAGCCACAAGCTTTACGAGTAAAATGATAGTTTGAAGTGGTCCGAGACCGAGACGGCTAATACATAGGTGTAACAGTCGGAAGAAGTGTTAGTTTGTTTACTTAAATGAACCATGCCCATTTTTTTATGGCATGTTTGCTATACGAAATGCGCCTCGTGTTTATTGGCGAATTTCACATCAAAGATTGATTAATTGAGTAGGAAATCAGTTTGGCACGGCATTTGTGACCAGCATACACCTTCCGGTAGTATGAAACAGGTCAAAAACTGTTCAAATCCGCAGATAAAATTTTTGTTTTGAATTTCTGTATAGCAAAATAGTGAACTTTTCGTGAACATTAACGGCAAAGAACTCACCAACACTGGGAGACTGTGAGTTCCTGCCCACCTGTTCATTTTCCATCGTGGACCGAGACGGCTAATACCGAGACGGCTAATACATAGGTGTAACAGTCGGAAGAAGTGTTAGTTTGTTTACTTAAATGAACCATGCCCATTTTTTTATGGCATGTTTGCTATACGAAATGCGCCTCGTGTTTATTGGCGAATTTCACATCAAAGATTGATTAATTGAGTAGGAAATCAGTTTGGCACGGCATTTGTGACCAGCATACACCTTCCGGTAGTATGAAACAGGTCAAAAACTGTTCAAATCCGCAGATAAAATTTTTGTTTTGAATTTCTGTATAGCAAAATAGTGAACTTTTCGTGAACATTAACGGCAAAGAACTCACCAACACTGGGAGACTGTGAGTTCCTGCCCACCTGTTCATTTTCCATCGTGGGCTAATACATAGGTGTAACAGTCGGAAGAAGTGTTAGTTTGTTTACTTAAATGAACCATGCACAGAAAAACAAAACTACCCACCGCTTGGGTTTTTTAAACTCAAATTTGAGTTATTTGACCTCTGTCCGTTTCATTTCCTCTCGCTATTGTTGTCAAAAATAGAACGAAAGATTCGACTCAACCGTCTAGTTCCGTACAAGAAGCCAAAATTGAGTAATATGCGATATACCCAAATTTGAGTTAATTGAACTTAATTTTGGGTAGAAAAAATTAAAAATAACTTAGCGATGGGTAATTTTTTTTGCCGTGCTTAAATGCAAACTACTTTGAGCCGGTTTACCCAAATTTGGCTTATCGTACGGAACATGGGAGATGAGTGAAAAGAACTTAATTTTGGGTTGTTTTGAATTTCTGTGTGCCCATTTTGTTATGGCATGTTTGCTATACGAAATGCGCCTCGTGTTTATTAGCGAATTTCACATCAAACATTGATTAATTGAGTAGGAAATCAGTTTGGCACGGCATTTGTGACCAGCATACACCTTCCGGTAGTATGAAACAGGTCAAAAACTGTTCAAATCCGCAGATAAAATTTTTGTTTTGAATTTCTGTATAGCAAAATAGTGAACTTTTCGTGAACATTAACGGCAAAGAACTCACCAACACTGGGAGACTGTGAGTTCCTGCCCACCTGTTCATTTTCCATCGTGGTCTCTGGCTAACGGTCCTGTTTGGGTTCATCCTTGAATTCATTTTCGATGTCAGTGTTACTGAATTCATTTTCAATGTCGGTTAGCATCTTTTTGGAGCACATTCTCGAAAAACTACCCACCTTGCACTCAAAAATATTACCACCAGAGAACAGACGTTGAGGCTCGAACTTAATTTATCTAAAAACTAGTGTAAAGATTCCTGTTCGACTTAAGCGCTACTAACGGCGACTTCCCCACTTGGTAGCACCAAGTGGAAATTTTCAACAGAAAATTAATCGATACTAGCGCAAAATTGGTCGGAAGTGGAACATTTATAGAGGAAATCAGTATAGATGCTAGTGCCACGTAGCAGCGACGTTCCCACCTATCTTTACACAAGTTTCTGACCGAAGTTGGACGTTTGTTCTCTGTGATATTACCAGGGGGTAAGTCACTCTGCCATCTTGTGCACGTGCTTATTCACTAATAAACTTTCAAAGATTGTTATTATGTGTCCCACACATGAATTTTTGCAATGTGATCAACAAATGATATCTATGTGTCGGACACATACATAATATGTGTACACATAAAAGCCATGTGTAACCACACATACCATTCATTTGACTCATCAATTTCATGTGTGCTTCTGGGTGGATTCTGTTTTTGTGTGGTCACATGAAAATCATGTGGAATTTGACATGGAAATTCGTCAATAAAAATGTGTGGAATTCAATTAGTGTTGTGTTTCTTCGATGTTTTTAGGTGTCGGAAGGTGTTTCAGCTTGTCAACGTAGTTGTCAGAACGTTAAGTGAAAAATAAAGTTTTCTGGCAACCACTACATCTATAACAGCTGATTCCAATGCGATGCGTTCGCTGTTGATTGGAAAAAGGAAAACAATAAACAATAAATTGTCAGACTACTCCTGCCGAACGTGCTGCGATACGGATGAACGTGGATCATCGCCTGGCTAATATGGACCAACAGGTCTGTGTCATAAAAAAGGAGAAACGTGGATCATGGTGGACTGGAACAACTGACTGTGTTTGGACGGGACAAAAACTTATACTTCAAAATATTGGAAGAAGGTAGGAGCGTCTCGAGAAGGGTAGTGAATGTCACTGAGATTTTCTTTGTTTGCAGTCAGAATCAGGTGACATACGTGACACCTCAGCAATTGATCATACTGCTAGAACACATAGACACCGCTTTAGTATCGCGTGTAAAAGGCAGCATTCGGGGGCTTGAATCGGGTCACGTTTAGTGGTTTGTTAAATGAACGGAGTGGCATCGACGGAGACGAGAATTGTCTTCATGACTACCCGACTACCTGGAGACGTTAGATCCTGCTTTGATATGACCACGCCGTCAAGGAAAACATTGGATATTCCAACCGACAACCCATTACCGGCGGAATGGGTCGGAACGATTGGTGATCTCCTCGTGAGAATACATGGAGCAAGGATAGCTGCGAATATGACCAGTAGGATGGAGATCGGGAAGATTTCAACTATGCCACCCACGAAGCACGCATTTGGTCGTTTGATGTCTTAATCTCGGTCTTAATATACTTAGTGAACGGGAACCGGTACGTTCACGAATACGGGAATGGATTATTTTCCAAGTAGCGCTAGTTCTTGCATACACACAAAAATATGTTCAATCCAGTGGCATACTTTTATACATAACCAGCTTTTTCTTCGTAACTGTCTTCATAGCCATGTATGAAATTGTTGAGTGGCATAACGGGAAGAACAAAGCATATTCTGAATAATCCGATTTCTGTGGAATCCTACCGATTGCTGGAAGGTGATCTCTACACCGAGGTGAATTTCCATATACCTTTTATGTGTGAAACAACATAGTATTTGGCAATTAGACTTCACAAATAAAAATATGTTTGAAGAACATAAAAATTATTTGGTTTCCCACCAATGAATTCAATGGCATATAAGAAATGAATTTAATTTGCATTGGTAAATAGAATTTATGTGTGAGGTTTATAACATTTCTTTCTCGGTAGAACATAAAGATTATGTGTCTAATTCAAATGAAAGTCATGGTACAAATAATAACGTTTACATGTCAATTCCATATATTTTATGTGCTAAAAATATAAATAAAATAATAACAATACAGGCTCTGGTAAATTATTTATTTTCCTGAAGATTTTACACCGTCACTGACGTCAGTGGATTGTATATTCCCGCGTGAAGGCGTTTTTGGTTTGAGTCCTCCGATGTCTGTCGAAGGCGAGGTCGAAGGTGCCTCGGAGGGTCTAGCGCTCGGTCTAGCGTATACATCGCCGCCTTTAGCCTCTACGTCCTCTTCCTGCGCGTCCTCCTCCTGCACGTCATCCTCCTGCAAGTCTTCCTCCTACACGTCCTCCTCCTGCACGTCCAGCAGGAACAGTGTAGAATTCACAAAAAAAAAATTTCAAACAAATAATATTTATTGTACTTACTTACGTTTGCCTTACGCCATTTAGTTATCCGACGGAATATCACGGTTTCCTCTGATTTTAAAGCTTCTCCGAGCTCATCACGGCTGTTGGCTAATGTTTCTGTGAATGTTTTTTCGCTGAAAACAATCGAAAATAATAGTTTTATGGTAAATAGTTAAAGATAAATGAGATAAATAATTATTTATCTTTGAGAATGCTCAAGTTTTGTTGGAAGATGGAGACGATTTAGCACAATTTGTGCAAACTTATTGTCTGACGCCATATTAATAGTGTGCACTGAATTGAATCACTTAAACATTATGTGTGATAACACATAACCTCAGGAGGTAAGTCACTCTGCCACCTTGTGCTAACACCCACAAAAACACACTTCGACACACTTCAAACACCCACTAACACGCATCCGTCGCATGAAAAACTAATGTTTTCATGAATTCTGGCACCACTGCCATTAATTTTTACGTTTGTTGATCAATTGGCGATCACGGCGACTCTGTAGCTCTTTACTCCTATGAGAAAATCCATAAGCAAACGTCAGACTGTGCGTGAAACATGGCGGACTTTGTACTATCCTTTCACTTCACCGAAAATTCCCATAAGAAACTGTCTAAATTTGCTGGAAGAGCCTTGAAAGAGCAAATTTTTCGACGGTGCCGTCAACGCCAATAGAACAGTGAATTATTCTCCGCCATCAGTGGTTGCTGCTGTTGCGGTGGCATTCCAAATTGTTGAATTTTCTACCGGGGGACAGGTATCAAAATTTCATTTCATCTTCAGCGCGTTTGGCTTCGCTTTCCCTGAGCTGTCTTTACGGACGTACGGCTGTTTATTTGAACTGTATAGAGATAGGAGCATTATCAGGACATATTTTGAGAATCTAGCAGGTAAGTGTTTGACCTCATAAGTTAGGATTATAGCTAATAGAATATATTATTTTCTAGATGATTTGCAACATTGTGCAGATGAACTCGTTCCTAGAACCTAATCAAATTGGAACGAATTCTCATCTCCACTAAAAATGTAAAATAAATCGACATAGTGAAACAAGCTGGACGAGA